TTCAATTTCTTAGCTACATATCCCAAAAAGTTGATCTGGGAACACTTATGGCTACTTTTGACATCAGTAGACTATATAGCAACATACCGCATGAATTAGGTAAGCAGGCAATCTCGTTCTGGATTGAAAAACATCCAGAAACACTACATCCCAGATTTACTAAGGAATTCATTACTGATAGCATAGACCTGATTTGAAACAATAACACTTTTGAATTTGACAACTAAAACTATATTCAAACCATAGGTACCACAATAGGAATGAAAATGGCACCAATATATGCCACCCTAACATTAGGAAAACCTATATGAACAGATAGAAGAAATATAAAAACCCACTTCACTAAATTGTGGAAATGATACTTAGATGATTGCCTCATTTTTTGGAAATCCTCATGGGGCGATATTAACCAATTTCACACTACTTCAAAACTTACACCCAAAAATAAAATTCAACCAAGAATATAATTTTAATGAATTACTATTTTTAGATATGCTCATTAGAAATAGAAACAACCATTTAATCACAGATATTTACCACAAACCTACAGACACCCAACTCCCTTTCAATTAAAGAGTTTGCAAACAATAGTGAACGACAAAACAAGGTTTGTAAAAAAAAACACCTACACCTCCGAGAACTCTAAAAGAAAGAAAAAAAAAAAAAAAATGAGGCTACCCCACAACACTAATAAACAAAGGTTTTGAACTAGCAGAAAGACACCTCTAGACCGACTACAAAATTCCAAAAAACGTAACATTGAACAAAGCCTACCATATACAATAAGAACAATCCAGAACTATTTATGGAAATTACAATAAATCTAGACCTACTTAACAAAAATGATAAAATGAAAAATATACTAAAAACAACCAAAATAATTAAAAGCAAACGCCAATCTAAAAACCTAAAACGTATATTAACCTCATCCAAATTTAACCAATACAATATACAGAGGGTCACAAAATGTAAGAAAAAAAAAGATGTGGGGTTTGTGATATTATAGAAGGGAACTCCTACATTTTTGAAAACCCCACAACTACATTCACAATAAATAAAAATTTAAAATGGAACTCCCAAAATGTGATCTATGCACTCAAATGCACAAAATGCAAGAAGTCATGTATAAGCATCAGTCAAGCACTTAACAGAGTTTTCCTTCACAAAAGCAACATCAAATTACCAGACAACAGAAAATTCTTTGTTTCGCAACACATCTACAAATGCAATCAAGGCAAATTTAAAATTATGCCAATATATCAAATAGATAACTACTCTTTCTTACAAATTCAAGAAAAAAAACTTCATAAACAAATTTAAACCAGCACTGAACAGATAATAACCCCATACAAATGGACACATAGCATGCACACATGATGGCCAGATACGCTGGTTGAACCACACACATACATATGGATACGTAAACAGGTATCCATGGAGAACATACATACACACACACATATATATATATATATATATATATATATATATACACACACACAGAGACAGGCAAAAACAGATAGACTACTCATGGACACAAATGCGAGCCCTATGCAACACAGGAAGAATGTGTGTGTCTGTGGGTATATATGTATATATATATATATATGTGTGTGTACACGTATATGTATATGCATGTATATATAAGTGTACGCTGATTCCTTTTTATGAGACAGTATGTATATATGAGGAGGGAATGTACATGTGTGAGCTAACGGGGTCATGCATGCACACACAATACACAAAAGTGGAAATGAATTTGACAGTCTCAAGAGTAATATAGGGATAGGAAAACATCTCTCATCAACACCTCTATCATCACCACCTCTCAGACCAAACCTAATGGTTTTATTACCATTTAGGCAGAAATTCATTTTTGCCAACAGTCCAAAAATGAGATCAAGGCTCACTACAAATACAAAAAAATGTACAATGAAACATTAAAAAGAACATAAGGTAAATTTATTCCTTTATCTGCCTGAAGAAGGTCATGAGGACAGAAACATGAAGAATAAAATATTATATATATATATATATATATATATATATATATATATATATATATATATATATATATATATATATATATATACACACACACTAAAACAAATCCATATTATAACAAAAAACATTTTTGATGGTTTCTCTTTTTTAAAATATACATTTTTCTCCTGTTGGAACAACCATAACCTTTTCCCATATATATATATATATATATATATATATATATATATATATATATATATATATATTCATTTCATCCTCTGATTGACTTTATCAAAGTAAATGTAAGGATGTTATTTTGCAACATTATAGACAAAAGTAAAAATGTTACTTTTCAAAATTTTTAAATTTCAGAATGCTCATAAATATACATCAAGCTGACTGAAAAGTCTTGGTAAGTCATGGAGGATTCTAAATGATGTACTTAGATGGAAAATTCTTGTGTACTGCTATCAAAATTTATAATTACTCCTTTCCCAAGACAACATACATGACTATTAAAATGTTCAACAAAAGAAAATGGTTAAATTCATAGCCTTCTAATATTTAAAATATATAAATTAATCCCAAACTAGTAATATAATCATTAATTACATTATTTAATCATGCACACCAAAAATCCCATTTACTTAATTTTGTTTATTAGTCATTAAATTATGTCACTTAGTATCCTCCATAATTTATCTAAACATTTCAGTTAGCCTGATGTATATTGATGAGCATTCTTAAATCTATAAATTTTGCAAAACTAATAACATTTTTACATCTGTTTATAAATACTTGTTGCAGAAATTTGCCTTGAAAAAGTTCATCAGAGGATGAAATGCGTCAGCTAAGTTTATGTTTTGGGCATGTGTGTATATATAATTATTTTTTTAAAATATGATTCCTTTGTTACATAAGAGTTCTCATGTTTCAAAAACAAGAGCCATATTTCTACATATTTACACACACACATGTGTGTGTGTGTGTGTGTGTGTGTGTGTGTGTGTCTACAATGATAGCAGCTCTCTACAAAACTATTACACACATAATAAATAATGTAGGCTATGTGGCATGTGTTCAGCTATATATTAAAAAAAATTCCCAATTATTACAATTATTTATGGAATAACCAAATAATTACTATCTTAAAGCCTATCCTTTAAATTCCCTGTAACCTTTGACATTTAAAACGTGAAAACATTGATTGAATTGGCAATAAACCAAATAACAATGTAAATTGGAATAGGCCACCATTTTTTATCACCTTAAATAGTTCAGAAGAAATTTTTTTTTCAAAAGGTTATTTCTGAAGTTTCATACATGCATGCTAAAGAAAAACAAAAATCCTTAGGAGTGCAGTCAAATAGGGTCTAAAAACCTAAAGTCAACTTTCACATCCAAGGGGCTCTAAAGAAAGGAAAAGAGGCATGAAACAGAAAGAAAGTTCAAAAAGGAAATAGGAAATCTGTTCTGATTAGGAATAATAACATCAATGACAAATGTCCAGGATTGATTAAACATCGGATTAACTTAAACAATAAAAATTATTTTTTTTACTTAAAAGGCAACAGTAACTAATTTAATACTATCATAAATACTAAGTTGCATTTAATATTTGTAATCATTGCAATTTTGAGAAAATTTGAAATTATTATTATACACAATGCATCTTTTTTATTAAATAATATTAAAAGGGAATAAAATTATCAGCAACTATTTTTAAGGTGCGATTTAGCTTTCTTTTAAACAACGGGAAAATTTAACCAATTTTGTGAAAAATATTTTTTAATCTTTCATAAATAATTAAAGATTAATTGCTGAAATTTTATGGAAAAAAACTGACATAGTGGAAAAAGTTTTTATGTGATGCGTTTCAACCTTTAGGACTTCATCAAACTAAAGTGATGTTTATGTTGATGTGACTACACATGCACATGGAAAAAGTGGACAGTGAGAATTTTAATTTTTTTTCTTTTAAATATATGTATTCCTTAAGATAATTATTACAGGTGATAGAATAACTTCCTCCTTCAGCTTATTATTTTCTTTTCCACTTTGTCATTTTTTCCCCTAAAATTGTGCTTGAAATATAAAAATGTATATATCATTTTCCCATTGCTGAAATTAAAAATTAAATCTCAAATTTAAGGAAATTTTTAACTACTTTTTTAAAGTTTTAAAATTAAAGTTTATAGTTTACAAATTATATAGCTCTATAAATGCAATAGATATTAATTATATAATAAATGTTAAATTTATGAAATAGCTATGCTTGAATTGTGTTACAGAATGCTAAGGCCAGGGCCAGAATGGTCAGTGATTAGCTGGAGTGTCTCATAGGCATAGTATTCTGACAGGGTTTTGGATTATAAGTCCAAAACAGCATGAACAGAGAGCCACAAGAATTCTGCTTCCCACACCGAAATTGAGAGACTGACTAAGACCCCTGAGCCAATGTGTGACATGCAATCCTGTGACGTCATTCCTCCCGCTGCCTCTTAGAATCCATGCTGCCACCACTCTCTCCTAATAAAATGATTAAGAAAAAGAAATGGTCCTTTTCGTTGATACTGTTTTATGTAGTAGCATGAGGACCCAGAGGCAACACAGAATGCAACAACTGATTGAAAATTAATAACTATTTAGTTGTTGATTAATAAAATCTGACCCCAAGACTCCATGTTTTTTTAGTTCTGTAAAATATTAATAAAGTTCATTAAATTCATCAGATAGACAAAATTGTCAAACTTAATTACAGTCTAATTGTTTCATTTGTCATTAAGCAGAACAGATAGAAATTATGTGGCAAGAAGATAAAATAGAGAAATCCTATTACACATTTACTAATAAAGGCAATGAACAAAGTAGAAAATTCCATCCAAGTTTGGCACCAGAAAGATGGACAAGTGACCTGAAGAGAGAAATAACAAAAGAACATGCCAAGAGATTTTTGTTTACATACAAGTAAATTCTAATAACTAAATATTACACAGAGACCAATGACTACTCACCTGCCCTAGTGTCTCCCGCGGTTCAGTACGGTGGGTATCTATTAGGGTATCCTGTGATAATGTGGAACCAGTCAAGTTGGTGCTCTTGGAAGCATCATTGCCGGTTACCTTGCTCGGTTCCAACATACCTAAATTGGCAGCAAATATTGGAACTCCAGGTTTTTTATGACCCATCAACTGAAAAAAGAAACAAAAAAGATGAACCAAACAGATTAAAAGAATAAAGATCATCTTGAGGAATAAATTACAATGACTAACCTGCTTTCTGATGTCATAGTGATTTTTAAAAACATGTGCAAATGTGCTGTTATAGTTATTTTATCAGTTATAATAGCATGTTTGTTATTGTAATCTACCCCTGAAGATGATCTTAGAAAAGATTGAAAATACTTGGGTTAAAAAAAAAAAAAAAAAAAAAAAAACTACAGCACCTTCCTTAATGAATTTCATCTTAACATTAAGGAAATGATTAAACAACTAGAAAGAATGAGTATAAAAATAAGTAGACACAATATGTCTATATTATTCAATGAAACATCTATGTATTTATCTCTATCTCTCTCTCTCTCTATATATATATATATATATATATATATATATATATATATATATATATATATATATAGCCTTATTAATAAAAACAAAAAACAACACTTAATAATATTAACTTTGAACATGGACACAACATCTTGATTGTGTTTTGAAAAATGAAAACATTTTATAAAATATACATGCAACAAACTATTTCTTATTTAACAGTTAAAATATTTAATCCTTGAAAATGGCTAAATGTATAGCCGAAAACACTCAGATAAAAAGAACATTCGGACAATTTTTATATAATTTATCATCCGAAAAGAAAAAAATTATTAGATCGCATGAGAAATTGTATAAAAAACTAAATAAAAGAATCTTGTCTATCATATTCAATGAAATGTGCATGAAAGAAGGATTGCTGCCTAAATACACACACACACACACATATATATATATATATATATATATATATATATATATATATATATATACACACACAGTTATATTCAAATCCAGTTAGTGAATTAAATCAATTAGGTAATGCAGCAAACTGTTGAAAGATAATGATATTAGCCAAAAGAAATTAATGATTATAAAAGACAGAATTAAAAATCAACAAAGAAACTTGGCAAAAGGTGTTTATACTTCCGACATATTTTCATTATGTGTCGTAAATCCAGCAAAGAGCACTTTTCTGGATAATTACTTACAAAATGATTTATATTTAACAAACTGAAAACTTTGTGTATGTGTGTGTAAAATAAAAATCAATTTGCCTTTTTTTTATATATATAAATGTAGAAATCAAAAAAACAAAAATGGCATTAATTTGAAAAAGAAAAGAAACAGACTGAAATTACTCACAATTTTTCGAGAATCAATACGTAATGTCCTGAACAACATGTTGCTTCCTTTAGAGTCTGTGAAATGATACGTGAGGGCATCAGTCACGTCAACATCCAACAGCTGTTTCCATACACAACAGCTTGAGCGGGTTCCTCTGTAATATGTCCAAAATAGTAAATCAGATTATGTGGAAAAAAATGCCCCAAAATAACAATAAAACTAATGACTTGCTGTAGAAAAACTTCTGCTGCTGTAGACATAATTATACACCTTTATGATAGTTACATTGCCTTCTATATATATGTTTTCAAGATAGAAAGTGAAATGTTGGTTCTTAGTGTTTTTATTATAAACTATATAGCACTTGGTGCTATTTCTAAACCAGCTTAGGCATACAGTAGCATACAAAACAACCAATTTTGTAATGTACTACTTTTATTGTGTTGGAAGTGACACTTCTACTGTAAAGTAACCAGTCAAAACCAAAATAGTGCCATTTTTTTGATTTTCCCAAAATTGGCCAGCACAGCCAGGTAACAATACTAAAACAATGCAGCAGTAAAAATGTTAATAAGCATTAACACCTTTTTTATTGGTAAATATAAAATGATGTAAATAAATCTATAATAATGTAAACAAAATTTGGTCCTTTTCTTGGTCTGAAAATCCCATTGAAGCATGAAACTGACAGTCATCCTGTAGTGTTGATCCCTGTGTCCTCACCATCGAGATATAGATATGATTATTACCAAATTTAACAGCATGATTTTAGATTTCCTTGAAAGAAATTCCTTAACAGGACAATTTAAATTTACTGATTTTTTTATATTTTGAAAATTAGTAAAAATTTATTAAGTTGAAATTGTGTATTTAAAATACACAAGCTACTTTTTAAATGAATAATGACACTTTATATTGAATAATATAAAGTATTACTATTTACCACACACTTTGGCAATTACAATTGTTTTTGAGAAACAAACAAATAACTAACAAACATTTTCAAATGATTTTTGGACATAAAAATATTTTATGTTCCATGAAGATACTTATTATCTGAGTAAAATATTTCTTAGGAGCACATGTTGATTAATTCCATGATTTAAAAAAATAGTGAAATAATTTTTCAGTAAAGAGGAAGCAATCTTTACACATATTACAATATATTTCTCAATTTATTATACATAATGTATATCAGTAGATGCTGTGGCCTGTTTAACTAAAACACTAGATAGATTGAATAAATTGAATATAAAAAGTTAATTGTACAAGTTAAATCTTCTATTTCTAAATAGTTATTGACTATGATAGATGTACATGTGTTGTAAATAGGAAAGGTTGACACACATATAGAAAATAAGAAGTAGCTTATTCCAGAGAATAATATGGTACATGGTTGAGAACACAGACTAATGTAATAAACAGTTAATCGTTAACTCCTTGGTATTTACCTGAGACCTCTCCACAAGGCAGGATGTGGCACAAGGCCAGTTTTTTTATGTGGGGTATTCTGAGCCTGTAGACTCAGGCAAAAATTGTCTGTAGACCCTGTATACATGGGGTCAGGTAGTTGTCTACCTCCCCAGACGAGATTGTTCTTTGGCATAGCCTCATCTGGGTTCCTCTCTGCCCAGAGGCAGAGTCGACAAGCAGAGTTAACTGTAATTGTTAACTCATCTCCCTCAGTAAGAGAGAGTGCTGTTTAAATAGTCTTAGATCAGTTCATCTTGTGGTGATGTTCAACTACTCCACAACAACCCCCTTTTTTGAATTGATTACTTCTTCTGGAAATCATACTTTTTTTCTTTTTTGGTTTTATCTCTATTGTCCCTGTAAATTTTCTTTTCTGTTTAATTGAATGTTTCACCTAAGGGTCTATTAAGGGCATCGGTACTTTGAATAAGTCCTAAATAAAACTTCATCAGTTCTTCTTCCTGGTTATTTATATCCCCCAAGTACCTTTTTCTCATCTGGTTTTGATGTCTCTTAATAGTCTTTTTTGGGTCTTTAATTATATACTACATTAATCTTCTGATGCATTTATCAATGACACCAACATTTCAAATTTCTTTCTCATTTCTATACACTTTGAAAAAATTTTTTCTCCTGATATATAGCATTTTGTATCTGTTTTTTTCCTTTATTGGTCATTTATTTCCCTTTGGCAACAGTTTTTACAACACATCTTATTTTTATCGAACATTAACTCTGAAGGTGACAACCACAAATTAGTACTTGGGTTTGGTGTCACACAAAATACCCTTAAAAATTGTAGGATATTGTCAACAGATTAGTTTCCATCTGACTTTTTTTAATGCTCACTTGATAGTGTCTACAAATCTTCCTACCTGTTCATTAAATTGTGGTTGATATGGTGCAGTAGTGAGGTGTACAATTGAAAAAAAACTTTACAAAAGTCTTTGAATTTTTTTGCTGTCAATTGTGTGCCATTGTCCGACACAATCATATCTGGGATACTGAATTTAGCAAAGAGTTCATGCAAAAATTTAATTGTATCACTGCATGTAGGATTTTTACATTTCATCACCTCTGGCCATTTTGAGAAACTGTCAACCACAATTAAATAATATTGTCCCTTCATTGGAAAATCTATATGCAGCCTTTCCCAAGGTTAGTTTTTGGCCAAGGGGTAAATTTCACCAGTGGTGCCTTTGCTGCCATCAAAAAACTGCTGTATGATTTTACATTTTTCTCTATTTCTTTGCCAGGGTGTGCAGCATGGAAGTCCTAATATTCTTTTTGGCAGCACCCCTGGTATCACCACCTGTTCGCTGTACATCAAAATTCCATCACAGACAGAAAAAAAATCTTTTCACCATTATTCTTTTTGTACAGTTGGTCCCTAATTTCTTTCTTTTTCTCTGTGATATATTTGTCTATTTTTGTTTTGTTTCGGATTTCCTTGAGCATCACAAGTAATTCCTGTATGGTGCTACACAACACGTTTTTTTATTTCCATTTCTATTTTTAGATCTGCTATAACAGTTTCCTCCAATGATTTGGTTTGCTTTCTTTTATGGCATATCAACCTCAATGGGTCATTTAATGCCGACAACTTTTTATTTCCTAGTAATATTTTTGTTTAGTCAAAAATTTATTTCTGGTAATATTTTTTCCCTCAAAATTGTATTGCTGGTAATATTTTTTTTTTTTCAAAAAGGTATTGCTGGTAATATTTTTTTTTCTTCAAAATTTTATTTCTGGTATTAAAACCTATTTTTACACTTTCATGTTTTTTTACCTCAGTTTCAGAGTTAACTATTTGCCCATAGCTGGGACCCTAACAGGTGCTACCACCCCAGGTCAGTGTGGACCTGGGAACACCAGCAATTTAGAGGTGGTTCTATGCTTCTCAAAGCCTCCTGATCAGAGGCCTTGCTGTTGGACATAGTTTATCGTCGTACCCTGGACGCAGATGTAGTTTATCATCATACCCAGGACAGTTTCCTCCAATGGTTCACATAGTTTGGAGATTAACCTGGATAATCCATTCGCATGAACTCCATCTTAAAATTATAATTTAATAATATTGTTCCCCATATCTGAAGGTGATTTGCAGTTTGTGTAGGAATCCCTTTTGAGGAACCAAAAATAAACATTAACCATCTGTGGTCTGTTTGAAGCATGAAATGTCTTCCATGAATGAATCTATGGAACTTTTTACCACAAAAATTATCCCTAAAGCCTCTTTTTCAATTTGGCTGTACCCTATACATGTGCAATCGCTTTTACTTGACCATTGCTTTCTTTGTGTAATATTATGGTTCCTAAGTCCAAATTACTAATGTCACTTGCAACAATAATATCCTTATTTGAATCATAATGTGCCAGTCTGACATTAATACGTTTTTAATTTCCTCTAAAGTACTGACATTTAGTACTCCAGTTTCATTTAGAATCTTTTTTTAATAATTTGTTTAGAGTAGCTCTTGACACGTGTGTGACACTATTTAGCTATGGTAATTGGCTAACTAATTAAGCATGGAAATTAAAAAAATACGAGAAATACTTAAAAAAGGAAAAAGAGCTATAACGAAAGACATACCGAAAGCAACATTATTTTTTTTTTTTTAACAAAAGAAAAATGGGTAAAGATTTTATTTTCATTTACGAAGAAAAATATTTTTTTTTGAGAAAGATAGAAAATTAAAAGAAAAAACAGGTATCAGATTCTGTCAGAATTAATTAATGTCATGACATGACAAGGGAAACAGAATACGGATAAAGGATAACAATCTGCCCACACGTGTGGCAATAATAAAAATTTGGTCAGAGGCATACAAAGCAGAATTCTAGAAGATAATCAAAGCTGGGTCAAGCATGCGACCGAGAAAGAATCAGGTTAGACCACCCCAAAAAGAATAGCCATTAATTATCTTTCGGAGATATCATTTGGTTTTGGTTCTTGTGTCCAAAAGAAGACCCATCTATTGTATGTCTGGATCTTGTCATGATAAGAGTTAAGTGCCAAGGGGAACAGAATACGGATAAAGAATAACAATCTGCTGACACGTATGGCAGTGATAAAAATTTCAATTCGGTTATCTTAATAAAAAAAAAAAAAAAACGACAAAGAAAGCCATTATTACTACCTGTACAAGCTGTTGACGACAGAATGCGATGATATTGAGATGAGAGAGACAAAGAGATTTGGTGACCACCCAGTTAATAAGTCAGAAAAAATTCCGCTAATGAATTCCAGGTGACCCCAAGTTAAGATAAAAAAATTTAATGTCCGCAGTACGATTCATAAGAATTCTGGCCAATAGAAAAGAAAGAAAGAAAAGGGAAGATAATTTTTTTTCCTTGGGCGATAATTGTAAACTGAGGCCAGTCTAGCCACACCCACACTGCCGAGCGTTCATTGGCTGAGTGGTGGCGTGAGTGATGGGCGAAGGTAAACATATGAGAAAGAGGGGAAACTTGTTGACGCCCTCTAAGGGGATTGGTGTGAGATACCAATATGAGAAAGGAAGTTTTTAGGAGGATAATCCTCCTACGATCCCCTCTAAAACAGAAAATAATTGACTTACAAAAATGGGAAGTGATAAATTTTCCTGTCCGAAGACAAACAAAATCCTTATTGGGGATTTGAAATTATCGAAGAACCCAAACCACAACAGGCCCCCACCC